ATCGAATCCAAAAGGGGGGGTGAGGGAGGGAGAGAGGGAGAGAGGTGAAGATGTAATCTGGAGTAAGTTTTATTTTTTGAGTGATTCTTATCTATTGTGTGGACATTTGAATGAAAAAGCTAGAAATCAGAAACTTGGGGTGAGCAAATAGTTTTTCTAAATTATTTAGGAGTGAGTCTCTAAGGGTGGAATAGTTGATAATTTCACTGTAGACTTGGGTGGTACAGGAGGTAGGACAGCCAGTGGTCACTGGTTTAGCCAGATGAATGGCCAACACAGAAGAACAGCAGAATTTGGGATTGAGGAAAAGACTGGGCACCCTGTGTTATGAGAGGAAGAATTGAGTTTCATGGAATTGAGACTGACATGGACAACAGAAGACTTAAAGGATTCTCAAGCAGGAGCGGGTTTTGCAAGATGGCAGAGAGTTTTGACTTGGGACTTTCTGTGTTTAACTCCAATCTGCTTGATGGTGTCCCAGGATGCAGGTCAGACTCACCCCAGAGGAAGAGGTGGGATGGGAGTTCCAAAGAGCCGAGATAACTGTCATAGGGATAGTAAAAGAAGACAGACTCGGCTGATCATTTTGATCCAGTCTCATGATTTATGTTTACAGGGTAAGAGGAAAAGAAGTAAAATGGTCAAGACTTCACAGAGGAAGCAGCGTGACTGTGTGAACCAGTCCAAACCCAAGCCTGGTTTCAGCATCTCCATCCCCTTGAGGATGTCCAGTTACACGTTCAAGAGACCAGTGACGAGAATCAGATCGCACCCAGGCAATGAGGTTAGATTCCATCAATGGGAGGAGAACTTGGACAAGCCCCAGCAGGTCTGTTGGCAGAGGAGGCTGCAAGGACTCCAGGCGTACAGCAGTGTCGGGGAGCTCTTCAGCACTTTAGATCTCACTAAAACTTTGCAAAAACTTGCACCTGCTTGCATAGGTGCACCCCTACAGGGGGCTCTGGCCGGTGGTCTGCACCCCAGCTCCGGGCCTGCCCTTGCCCCTTCTTCACACTTTGTGGAGTCGATTCCCGGAGCCAGTCTGGGCAGCCCCCAGCTCCTCTGCAAACAGTTCCTGGTGACTGAGGAAGATATTAGGAAACAGGAAAGGAAGGTGAAGACGGCTAGAGAGAGACTGGCAATAGCCATGATCGCAGACAGACTGGCCAGTGAGGCAGAGAAAGCTCGGGGGCCCAGACGGGCGTCCTCGTGAATGCAGGAGAAGACACTGCTGATGAAACAGGGCGTGGCCCTTTATCCACATCACTTTGTAGGGACCATGTGTGTGTATACACACACACACACACATATATATATAGTTTGAATTGAGCTCCTGACACCTTAAAACACACCGATGCTTTTCCTTATTAAACTCCTTTGTGTAACACAAGAAAACATAACAGTGATTTCTTTTTGAGATGAGAGATTGGGTTTCAAGTGAGGAGAGAAAGGAATTTTTTTTCATGTAGACTCCTGTTTTCATTAACTCTTTACACGCTTTATTTGTATGTGTGTGTACTTTTTTTTTTTTTTTTGGTACTGGGTATTGAACCTAGAGTCATTTTTACCCCTGAACCACATCCCCAGCCTCTTTCTTAAATATTTCTTTGGAGACCAACTCTCCCTAAGTTGCTTAGGGCCTCACCTCACTAAATTGCTGAAGCTGGCTTTGAACTTGTGATCCTCTTGCCTCAGCCTCCAGAGCCACTGGGATTACAGAGGTGTGCTGTAATTTACTTTTTAAAGTATTTATATATTTAAGGCATATGACATGGTGTTTTGATACGGTGAAATGACTACTTCCGCCAAGCAAATTAATATATCAATTCATAGTCAGATTTTTTTTTTGTTTGTAGGTAGTAAATAAAATATACCTTCTTAGCGAACTCCCACTGTACAATATGTTATTGACAATAGTCTTCAGTGTGCACCCTCATTTTCTGGACTTATTCGTCCTGCATAACTGGATTTATTTGTACCCTTTAAGCTGCATCTCTCCACCCACGCTCGACGCTAGTAACCTCCATTCTACTCTATGTTTGGGCGTTTTAGACACAGAGATTAAAGATTCCACATATATGTGCTGTGATGCAGTGTTTTTTTTTTTTTTTTTTCCTTTGCGTTGGGCTTATTTTACTTAAAGTCAATGGGGAGTTATCAACGTCCTGGAATCACCAGTATTTGTGTCATCCTCATGGTCACAGGATGAAACCTACTTCATCACAATGAATTACTGTTTTTGGGTAATAGTTGATTCAAAAATAGTATTTCCTAAAAGGACTTTCTTGTCCATTTTCCCAAATAAGGTATGTGCCTATAGTTACTCTTCTGTTTTTGATTGCCTGTCAACCCAGTGTTGCACAAAGAATGAAACAGCACACATTCCTTCATTTTCTTGATCCATTRTGTGTTTGAAATTTATTTTACTCCATGAAAACCAACATGCAGCCGGGCCCGGTGGCGTACACCTGTAATCTCAGCGACTTGGGAGGCTGAGGCAGGAGGTGCCAAGCGACTCAGAGAGACTCTGTCTCTACATAAAATACAAAGTAGGGCTGTGGCTCAGTGGTGGAGTACTGCTGAAGTTCAATTCCTGGTACCCCGTGCCCCCACCAAAAAAAAAAAAAAAAAAAAAAGGAAACCGACATGCTGTTTTGGTGAATAATGACATAGAGACACTTTTCAGCATTATTAATCTAATAAACCTCTGCTTCTTGGAATTCAAGAGTTTATTTGCCTCATCAAGCTTGCTGTATTATTCAGATCCTCTTTATCATTACTTTTGTTTGATGGATTTGCCAGTTTCTGAGAGTGACACACTAAAAATACATAACATGGGCTGGGGTGGTGGCTCACACTTGCCCAGCCTGTGTGAGGCACGGGGTTTGATTCTTAGCACCACATATAAATAAAGGTCCATTGACAGCTAAAAAAAAATAACCCATATGCCATATTTATAACATCCCTGAAATATTTGAAATTTTATCTTCAATCCTCTATGATTTCATTTGGTACTCATTAATTTTAGTTAGGTTGTGTTTTTGTTTGGTTTTTGGTACAAGGGTTGAACTCAGGGGCACTTAACCACTGAGCCACATCCCAGCCCTTTACAAATTTTTGTTTGAGACAGGATCTTGCTAAGCTGCTTAGACTGGTGCTAAGTTGCTGAGGCTGGCTTTGAACTTGTGATCYTGCCTCAGCCTCCTGCGTCACTGGGATTACAGGCATGTGCCACCTGGCCTGGCTAGGTTGTATTTTAATGACTTGTTTTAAAACTAATTCAGATACGCTCTTCTTCTTTTCCTCATTACTCYTGTTCTCTTCCTTCCAATGTGTTTTCTGGGTTCGCATTTGTCCTTCCTAAAGTGTATTCTCCCTGGTTCTCTTACTGGAGGCTGAGGGAGGCTGCTGGGTTGGCCTGTATGCCTGGAAGTGTCCTCTATCTCCTTGCCCCAGGTAGTTGGGCTTAGGTACAAGGGATTCTTTTTGTCWAATCATAGTATGTTTCCGAGCCTCTATCCTTTTGACCTTAAGATGGAAATAAAACCCTCAAGGGAGGTGGCTTGGTTGATTTTGTGTTGCCATAACAGAATTTCACAGATGGCACAACTTATACAGAACAGAAATTTATTCTCAGAGTTTTGGAGGGGGGAATTCYGAGATCAAGGTGCTAGCATCTGCCGAGGGCCTTGTAGCTTTGTTCTTGATGGTGGACGGTGGAAGGGTGGAAGAGACCAATGCTAAGTCCTCCCGGGGCAGAAAAGCAGGGAAGAGAGAGCGCCCGCTCCCACAGCCCTCGTCTGCCAACTCACGGGGCCGTAGCCCTTGTGACCTGAGAACACTTTGCTAGGTCCCCCTCACTGTATGCTGTCGCCTTGGGGATTAAGTTTCCAACATTGAGATTTTGGGGGAGCTACATTCAAAGAGGGACATAGCAGAGGGACAGCATTGACGGATCTGGTGCCTGCAGAGCTTGCCAAGTCGCGATGACCCTTCCGCAGAGCGCACAGAAGATCAAAGGACCTTGGGTCTCTTGGCGTGTGTCCCTGTGGTCGACGGAGGTGTGACAGTAGTTGATGAGTGGTGGTCATCAGCGTCATTACTGTGATTTTCAGATCGTGCATCTTAGAGGCAAGCCTGCGCAGGATGGAGACTGTGAGGCTCACTCCAAAACAGCTCGGAGGCGGGGGCAGGATGGTGGTTTTAATTCCCAGCCCCTGGGTATCATCGCTTGTGCTGGGCTGAAAAAGGTGTGGAGATCACGCAACGTATTCCAGCAAATCAAGGCAGGACGGCACAGCGGGCCTCACACCTGGGACACTCGGTTCCACTTGTCTGCAGAAAAAGATGGGGAAAAATAAAAAGGACAGATCTGCTTAGATACACCCCCCACGTTTTACTGTTCTCTATATCCAATACAGACACTGTCCTTAGAGAGCCTCGCCCTCACTCAGGGACTCAGGCCTCCTGGACAATTGGTCATTTCAGCCCTTCGATCCCAAGGCTGGCTGTGCAGTCACCTCTGACCCATGTATCCCTTTTCGGTCTCTTTGCTATTTTGGAGGACCCATGAGGTGGTCAAGGAAGCCTCACCCAGAAGTCCTGCCACAGTGGAGCTTAGAGAATCAAGAAGTGTAAGAGAAGCTGGGGTGGCCAGAGCCCCGGTGGGGGGCAAGAGGGAGAAGCAGACTCAGCTACGGTGGCCAGCACCTAGCCAAGGGCAGGCCTGCAGAGGGTCACTGGGAAGGGAACGTGCCCACTGAAGGGGCACACTGATGTATGAGGGGGCAGTTTCTACACTGGCTTTGCCCCGAGGGGTGACGTGGTGTGAAACCAGAAGACACAGCTGGTAGCTGCCTTTGGGGTAGAGCCAGGGAGCAAGACTTTGCATTTCCTTCCCCGGGGGACCAGAGGTGGTGTGTGACGGGTGTGGTTCATTTCTGCCCCTGCCAGGCTTCTCAGGACCCTGGCCCGGGAAAAGCAGCCCCTCACAGGTGGAATCACTGCAGCTTCCTCTGGTCCAGGTGTGGCACGTAGTAGCCCAGGGGTCGGTGATGCACCTCATAATTCCCCTCCTTCTTCCGCCGGCGCATGGTTACCTGGGAGGGTGAGGGGAGGGCGTCAATGGATGGTCAGCTGCCCACGTCGGGGAGACCCCAGGGTGAGGATATGGCCCAGGACACAGACCTGAGGCTCCCACGTCCCCTCTCCCTCCCTTTCCCTCTTTCCCTTCTCTCTCTCTTTTTACTCTCAATTTTAAAATATGTCCCTCTCTGGTATCTCCATTTCTTCCTCTCCCTCCCCCTGGACTTCTTTATTAATTATCTATTATTTATCTTCCTCTCATCCAGCTGTACATCATCCATTAATTGTCTATCATCTATCAACCATACATGCGTCTGTCTATATATTATCTATCAATCCTCTGATTTCTCTAGCAATCATCATTCATCAGTCATCTATTTGTCATTTATAATAATCTCTAAATCTATYAGCCATCATCTATCGTTATCATCCATCAGTCACCTATCAGTTGTCTATAATCTGTCAACCATTTATGTACCCAGCATCTATTAATTGTGTGTCTGTCAATCATCTATCATCATCAGCCATCTATGATCACCCGTGTATCTATCTGTCTATCAACTACCTATCAATCACTTATCTCTCAGTCTCTTTTGGTCTTGGTAACTTTCTCTCTCCCTCTTCCCCTCTCTCTCTTTCCTGCCCCCACACCCCTCCAGCTTCACTGAGACAAAATTCAACACATGGTAAACTGCACGCCTTCAGAGTGAAGGGTTTGCTGTGTTCTGGATATGACATCACACATCGCCTCCAAAATTATCCTCCTGTGCCCTTATAATTCCTCTTCCCCTGCTACTCGCAAATACATTTTCACTCCCAGGCAGCCACCGGTGTGATTTTTGTCCCTGTGGATCAGTTTGTATTTTCTAGAATTTGTTTATAAATGGAATCATACAATCTGTACTCTTTTCCTTTGGCTTATTTTCACTCAACGTATCTTTGTCATTTATACATGTTGCGTGTATTCATACTTTATTCCTTTTTATTGCCGAATACTCTCCCACTGTCTGAATATGCCTGTTGAAGGACACTGGCGTTGTTTGCAGTTTTAGGTTAGTATGAGTGGAGCTGCTGGGAACCTTGGTGCACAAGTTGTGTATGGATATAGGTTTTTGAAATTTTCTCTTGGAGAAATTACTAGGAGTTGGCTGGTTGACCACATGGCAAGCATGTGACTTTCAAACACATGATCAAGTTCTGTTCCACTGGCTCTGCGTAAGGATTCCAGTGGCTTCACGTCTTCACCAAGAGTTGCTATCGTCAGTCTTTTTAATTTTAGTCTTTCTCACGCTTGGTGGTGTCTCGCTGTGACTTCCATGTACATTTCTCCAGTGGTTAATGTTAGGTTTTGACTTATTGTGCAACATGGTGACTACAGGTAATAATAATGCAGTGCGTATTCCAAAATTGCCAAGAGTAGATTTCAAATGTTCCCATCACAAAAAAATGTGCCAATGGATCTGTTAATGAGCTTGATCTCACCATTTCATTGTGGATATCCAAGTATCGCATCATATACCGTAAGTGTTTTCATTTATTATTTGCCAGTTAAAATTTAAATTTAAAAAAGGCAAGCTACAAAATCACCAGGGAAAGATACATGCAAAACATATCTCCAGCAAAGGCCTTGTGTTTATAGTAAGCAGCCATGCATCACTTAAGGATGGGCTGCCTCTGAAGAATGCACCTCAGTCACCTTTGTCATTGTGCAAATGCCACAGAGTACACTGCACCAGCCAAGGTGGCTGTGGCATCACCGGGTGAGATGMTCTCTTGGGGCCGAGGTCATGCATGCAGCCCGTCACGGACCAAAACGTCATTATGTGGTGCATGACCGAGTTACAAATTCTTACAACCCAATCATAAGAAGACAAGCAACTCTCCCTCGCTCACCAGGTAACAGCAGATCAGGCACGCGATGAGTCCCAGGAGTCCCGCCAGGCAGATGAGGATGATGGCCCAGAAGGGAAGGGCTGGGGAGACAGGTGTTGGGGTGAGCCACTCCTGCCACCTCCTGGGGCTCCCTTTGACCCCATGTGGCCTGAGGACGGGCATGGACTTGGGGGGGGGTGGAGCTTAGCAGCTCAACACCTAATGGCTCTGAATCCCCCTCCAAGCTCCTGCAGCTCCCGCCCCAGGAGGCCAGGACACCCGAGGCCTCTCCACTGTGCCTCAGGGGTCCTTGCCATGGGTTGACATGAGGACGTCCCCTCCCTGCCTGGGCAGGGGCTACTTTGAAGCTTACCAGAAGTTCTAGTCATAACATCATTTATGATGGGAGAATATCCTAGAAATGAAGGAAATGGAGAGTGCAGGTGAGTATACGTCACTTTTTTTGGGGGGGGGTACTGGTGATTGAACTCGGGGGCACTTCACCACTGAGCCACATCTGCAGCCCTGTTTTGTATTTTCTAAAGAGTCAGGGTCTCACTGAGTTGCTTAGTGCCTCTCCATGGCTGAGGCTGGGTTTGAACTTAGTATCCTCCTGCCTCAGCCTCCCGAGCTGCTGGGATCACAGGTGAGTGCCACTGTGACAGCTGATGGACCCGTTGATGGCCCTGTTCCCCGCTGGGAGGGAACCCAGGACCTTGCATCTGCAAGGCCAGCCCTCTTCCCCCAAGCTCCACCCCCAGCTCTAGCGAATCCTTCCAGAACTGGGTCGAGTGTTGGTTGTGTGCTAGGAGGAACACAGGGTTCTTGGAATGCAAGAGTGAACGAGTGAAGTMGCTCTAATCCTGACGTTGCCGGTGTTCACGGCCACACACACAACCATTGTTCAAATGGGTACATTCGTACGCGCAAGAGTTAGCCATGTAGGAGGCACTTCTGGGTCAGAAAAGGATCCATCCTATCATGTTTTCTGAGACTGGATCASACACAGCGTGGAACTGACTACCTTACTAAGTGGCCTGCAGGGCAGAGATAGGGAGGAGTCCAGAGAGAAGTGTCTTGTCTGAAGTCTGAGGTCACAGAGCTTTCTGGGAGAGGGTGAAACCCTCCCTTGTTCCCTCTGGGTGTCTTTTCTCTCTCCCTCAACGGTGGGTGAAGCCAGGAGGGACTACGCCACCTCTTACTCATCTGAGACGCTTCAGTGCTGTTCCACCCCAAGGCCTTGAGATTCCAAGGAATCCCCAGGGGTGGAGGTTGGAGCCCCTGTCTCAGCTCCAAGGACCTGGGAGACTTACCATCCACAAGGACACTGTTCCTGTCCAGGGTGAAGTTCAGCAGCCGGGTGCCATTCTGGGTCAGCCGCAGGAATTCCTCATAGATGGCCATTCTGTCCACTCTCCGGGTCAATGGTGAGTAGTGACACAGGGAGTCCACCCCAGTGTGGTTGCTATGGGGGACAGACCTGGAGGGGCACAAAGGATGGACAAGGGTATCTGGGATTGTGCCCTGGTTCAGATTTCCTGATGGGAGCCTGTCTGGGGAGCTGTGTGCCTCCATGTAAACATTCTTTGAAGGCTGCACCCGAGACAGTCCTTCTGAGCCCCGTGTTCTTACAGAGCTCTTAAAACGCGGCTAGGCCGAGTGAGCGAGGAATGGAATGTGTAATTAAATTAAATCTAATTAATGCAAAAATAAATAGCTTCAGGGAAAACATTTCTGAAATGTTGAAGTAAGGTCTTGGGGGGGGAAAAAAAACTCCATCAAACAGTGAGCACACTACAAACAGTTGTCAAAATCAATTTTTTTCAGAAATTCAGGAATTCCCCCAAGGCTTGCAATAATCCAAGGAGTGTTCAGTAAAGAGAGCAAGCTTTGTGGCGTTTCAACTTCCTGATTCCGACGCTGTTCTCCCAGAATCCTCCGTAATTTTGAAAACCAACGGTAGAACCCCCGGCAGCTATAAAAAGCAGCCGCCCCAGTGTGATCCCCAAACACCCATCTCCCACAGGACTGTCACTCTCTGACCTGTCCGGCATCTCCTTGCAAAAGCCCTGTTCTCAGGGAGCGCCTCATTTGATCTGACTCAGAACTTGCTCAGTGCCGGGAAGGGCAACCCAGGACACTGTCAAAAACAATCAGCAGCAAAGGCACCAGAAGCAGACTTTGGAGAAACAGCAACCTCTTTAACAAGAGTGCTGGGAAGACTGGGTGTCCACGTGTGGAAGATGGAAACTCCATCCTCAGCCCTCGTTCTGTGCAAAAATCAACTCAAAAGGAATCCCAGGCCTTACTGCAAGGCCTGGCACCGTGGAATTAGGAGAGGAAAATAAAGACCTCGGCGCAGGGAGCCATTTCCTGAACAGGACTCTAATCGCACAGGAAACAAAAGCAAGAAYGGACCAATCAAATGAAACGGCTTCTGCCCAGCAAAGGACACAATCAACAAAGAGAGCCTACAGGATGGGGAAATCCTCGCTGGCTCTTCATCCGAGGAACACTCACATCTAGAATACACAGWCAGCTCAAGGCACAGAACACCAAAGAATAAGCGATCCAACCCAAAAGGGGCCAATGAAGAGATCTGAACAGACACTTCTTAAAAGCAGAGTTATAAATGGCCAATCGTATATAAAAAATGCTCGGAAATGCCAATCAAAACTACCTTAAGACTCCGCCTCGCCCCTGTCGGAATGGCTATTCCCAACACAYGAAGCAAAAGAAAACAGTAACAAGCACCAGGGAGAATGCAGAGAGAAAGGATCACAGACACTGTCGGTGGGAATGTAAATCAGTGTAGCACGACGGTGGAGGTTCCTCAGAAAACTAAAAGCAGAATGACCACAGGAGCAGCTATCCCACTCCTGGGTGCACCCCRGAAGAAAATCAAGTGAGCACACAGAAGAGACACCTGCATACCTATCTTTACTGTGGCTATTCATAGTAGCTAAGTTTTGGAACCAGCCCACGGTGTCCATCAATAGATGAAGAAAACGTGGTGTACATACACAATGGAGTACTATTCAGCCATAAAGAAGAATGAAATTATGTCATTTGCAGGAAAATGGATGGAGCTGGAGGTCATCATGTTAGGTGAAGTAAACCAGACCCAGAAAGACAAGGATCACATGTTGTGTCTCATATGAGGGAACTTAAAATAAAAAAAAGATGATCTGAAAGAAAAAGAATTGTTATGGATGGGGAAGGGAAACAGGGTGGGGGAAGAGAGAGGAGGGAAAGAGAGGGTAGCTGGGAGTGGATATGATTAAAATCTGAGATAGACACATGGGGGACTGTCTGTGAAACCCTTTATGTGCACTATTAATATTATTTATTATTCATTTAAACATCAATTGACATTAATTGTTCAATGCCACAGCTACCTGCAGCAGCCCACGGTTGAACAGAAAACCTAAGAGGAAAATGGGGGGAATACTTTACAGGAGGATTTGGTGGATCTGGGATGTGTTCTGAGGATCTAGAAGCCACCACTGTGCAGGGCTTATAATCCCAGAGGCTCAGGAGGCTGAGGCAGGAGGATYGTGGGTTCAAAGCCAGCCTCAGCAACTTAGTAAGGCCCTAAGCAACTCAGTGAGACCCTGTCTCAAAATAAAACACATGTAAAAAATAAAAAGGGCTGGGAATGGGGCTCAGTGGTTAAGTCCCTCTGGGTTCAGTCCTTTGTACCAAAAAAAAAGACCCAAGACCCATGATAAGGAATCTCCCGGGGTCTACAGCACCCACTTGGTCCTGCTTCTCTGATAAGAATTTTTTGGGGTACTGGGGATTGAACTCAGGGGCACTCAACCCCTGAGCCACATCCCCAGCCCTATTTTGTACTTTATTTAGAGACAGGGTCTCACTGAGTTGCTCAGTGCCTCGCTGTTGCTGAAGCTGGCTTTGAACTCGTGATTCTCCTGCCTCAGTGTCCTGAACTATCTCAAGACTCTTGAGATCTGGAAAGCTCTTCCTTTTAATATGATGGAGGAAGGCAGCGTTGGGACTTATGTGGTTCTTTTAACAGTTTCCCTCATCCTTGGAGAACACAGGCTGCCAATCAACTCATTAAAAAGTCTCCAAGTCAAATAGAAGCTAACTAGTTTGAACATTGTTACTTTTGATCCATCAGTAAATTTGCTCCAGAAGGTGATTTCTCTTCTTCTTGTTCTTGTGTTCTTTTTGCCATCCCGGGGATTGAACACAGGGCCTCACGTGTGCTCGGCAAGCAATTTCTACCCCTGAGCGGCATCCTCAGCCCTCTGTATTTTTTATTTTGAGGTCAAGTATTGCTAGGTTGCCCAGGCTGGCCTCAAAATTGAGGTCCTCCTGCGTCAGCTTCCCGATTATAGGTGTGCACCACTGAGTCCGGCCCCCAGTATCTGATTTCTTGAGGCAAGAATTCTACACTCTAGACTCCCTGGCTCCCTGGGCCAGGCACCCCCATGTCGGCTGGGGCTATGGGTTTCCAAGACAGTTGGGCTCATGGCTCTAGGAAGAAGCTGGATTTTGGGGTAACAGTTCCATATTCCAAAGGCTCTCTTGGTAACAGCTGGGACTAAGAGACTATGGTCAAGGGGACACTTTTATTTGAGTGCAGCAGAAGTTCTCAGGGTCATTCGTTGGAACTCACCTGAATGCTAAAACTTGACAGTCAGAAAAGTAACCCTTGATGCTGCTGTTCCGGAAAAGCTGGTTGAGCTGCAAGAGAGGGCGATGTTTCTTAGGTCAGAATCCCAGACTCAGTTGTAAAAGAGAATCAACAGCCTCCGAGCATCCTTTCCCATCTATTTTTTCTTTGATGAAAACTAACCCAGATTTAAAAAGATGTCCTGTTCTGGGGGTGCGGCATCGCTGTGTGATTCTGGGATAGCTACCGAACCTCTCTCTGTGCCTGTTTCTTAGTTTGAACCACGGGAATGAGAACTGTTACAAAAAGTCCCCCTTTGGCTACTACAGGCCGGTCTCTGCCTGGGGACAGTCCGAGTGGACACGACGTAAGGCTCTCTCACCGCATTCTCCAGGCTTCTTTTGTTCCGCTGGTGTCTGGCCGTGCCCGGCTGAGCCATGTCCTGGGTGTAGAGCAGGTTGGTGACGGTGAAGTTGAGCTGGAAGTTCTGGGAGCCGGAACTTCTGGTGGGCACTTCTGTTGGTAGAGGAGTGGACGGCTTCGCTTCTAGAACAGACAAAGAAAAAAAAGTCCTGTGTCGGGAGGGTTTTAAGAAAGGGGTCATTTCAGCCAGACTCCTTCTTCCTGGCCACGAGACCTGGGCTGGGTTTTTAAAGGTGGGCACAGAGGCCCCTTACTGACCTGTCCACCTGTACCCATCCAGCCCTCTACCTGTTCACGTCTCCAGGGCGAYGTGGGAGTTCCCTGTGATGGGGGAGGGCGAAGGGCACTGTGGGGAGTGGTGGGCAGGTGCAGGTGGGGACTGCCCATCTGTCACATACCTTCCCTGGAGATTCCCATGGAGGCCCTGCATTCCCAGAGGCTCTTCCTGCCTCTGGTCTTCCTCCCAACCCATTCTGCACCCCTTGTTTGTTGAATCAATAAATGTGAACTGCAGTAGATTCCCAAATTTTGCGACATGTGTGTGTGTGTGTGTGTGTGTGTGTGTGCGCGTGCGCGCTGAGACATTTGTTTTTCACTGCACACTCATTTGCTCTGTGCTATGATGCAACAACACATTAAACGGATGATACAGTGGCACATCCAGTGGATCTCAGTTGGCAGAGCTCGCAGACAAGGGGGGAGTTAAGTCATCAGCTGCGTAATCACAGTACATCGTGGCACGTGAGGGTAGTGCCTTCTGGGAACCCTGGGACCAGAGCCAACAGGGGTTTTCACCCTGGAGCTACTGGCATTTGGAGCTGCGTGGTGGGATCTCCTGTGCCCTGGAGAGTGGTTGGCAGCCTCCCTGGACGCTATTCTCTGAATGCTAGTAGTTGTCTTCCCCACCGGTGACGACCCCAAATGTCTCCTGGTAGGCACAAGTGCTGCCAAGCTGAGAATCACGGACACAAAAGAGCCTCATCCAGAAAACTCTTTGATTCCACCCTGAAGGATCCCATGGCTCAGACTTTGGGTTTGTCATGAAAGTCATCAAGGAGGAGCAGGGAGGACATTATGCTAAGTGAAATCAATCCAAAAAAATACGATATGCCCTCACTTAAACGTGGAATCTGAAAGAGTTGAAATCATTGGAGCCGAGAGAAGGGTTACTGAGGCTGCCAGGGGCCTCTGGCAGGAAAGGCAGAAGGTTTAGCCTGTGCAGGGCTCTGGGTCTGATCCCCAGCACCGAAATGGAAAGATGAAAAGGAGAGAAGAAAAAGGAAGAGGAGGAGGAGGAGGAAGGGGAGGAGGAAGGAGAGGAGGAGGAGGAGGAGGA